GACAATCCTTCAGAATATGAGAGTGGAGAAGTTGAAGAACCTAAGAAGGGTATGTGTTTTAGTTCAACGAAAGAAGTGTACACATTTTATGGAAAATATGCTAAGCATGTTGAATTTTTTATAGCTCATAGAGCACAACATTTTGGAGATGATAGGCAATTAAAATGCATTGCAATTGAATGTTCTCGAGCAGGGGAGAGAAAAAAGAAATAAAAAGTCAACCCTCTAAAGCTATCTTTGTCCACAAAAATTGGTTACAAAGCAAGGGTACGAGCTAGTCTCCAAAAGAATGGGAGATATATGTTAACCATAGTTAACCTTGAGCATAATCATGATTTGATTCCCACCGACTCACGTTATTTTACAATGTATAAGAAAATTCTTTCTCCTGTGAAGAGAATATTAGAAATTAATGATCAAGTAGGGATTGGGGTGTCTAGTAACTATCATTCAATGGTTGTTGAAGCAGGGGGATATGAGTCATTGGCATTTGATGAGCGAGATACAAGGAATTACATTGAGAGAGCAAGAAGATTGAGGCTTGGGAAAGGTGATGCCGAATCACTTCAAAGTTATTTTATGAGGATGCAAGGTCATAGTGAGAGATTCTTTTATATGATTGATGTTGATGAGGAGTTTCGCATTAGAGACTTGTTTTGGGCTAATGTAAGGAGTTGGGCGACTTATCAGCATTTGGAGATGTTGCTTTATTTGACACAACTTATCTCACGAATAAATATGACATGCCATTTGCTCCATTTGTAGGTATTAATCACCATGGATAGTCTATTTTGCTTAGTTGTGGATTGTTATCTAGTGAAGACACTAACGCATTTGTTTGGCTATTCAAGTTGTGGTTAAGTTGCATGTCAAATCATCATTCAAAAGCTATCATAACTGATTAGTGTAGAGCTATGCAAAATGCTATAGAAATTGTCTTTCCACAGGCTCGACATCGATGGTGCTTATGGCATATAATGAACAAAATTCCGGAGAAGTTGAAAAGATATTCTCAGTATGAACTTATAAAGTTGGCTCTGCAAAATGCAATTTATGACTATTTGACAAGAGATTAATTTGAGAATGAATGAGAAGAGATGCTTACAAAATTCAATCTTCATGATAATGAGTGGTTAAGTGTGCTATATGACGAGTGGCATTGATGGGTTCCTGTCTATGTTAAAGACTTTTTTGGGCTGGCATGTCAACTACACAACGAAGTGAAAGCATGGATGTATTTTTTGATGGACATGTCAACCTAAAGACTACATTAAAGCAATTTGTTGAGCAATATGACAATGCTTTAAGAAGTAAGGTAGAGAAAGAGAAGAAAGCAAACTTCAAGTCTCGATGCGAATTGTTTGATTGCCTAACTATATATGGTTTTGAGAAGCAATTTCAGCAAGCCTACACCAATGCAAAATTCAAAGAAGTTCAAGGAGAGTTGAAGAGATTAGTTTATTGTCAAGCCTTGATTGTCAAAGAGGAGGAATCAATTTGTACATATAATGTCCAAGAAGCGATGATAGTTTGTGAGAAGATGAAGTATGTGGACTTTGTTGCCTATTTTAATTGAACTGAATGTGAAGTTCAATATATGTGTCAGTTGTTTGAGTTTAGAGGCATTATGTGGGTTCACTCACTCGTTGTGCTTGTGAAAATGTGTATAAACGAGGTTCCAAATAAATACATTATGCCACGATGGAGAAAAGATTTGAATAGAGAGTACACATACATCAAAACCACATACCCTGGCTTTAGGGATGATTTCAATGCAAGTTGCTATGAGAGGGTGAACAAGAAATTGATTGGCATTGTACAAGTTGTTGGCAACTCTAAAGGAAAAATTAAAATTATAGACCTTAGGTTGGATGCAATCAAGGATAGAGTCATGAAAGATGAATTGGGTGATGAGAATAATTTACCACCTTCTACTAATCATATACCATCTTCCCCAATTGCTTGTTTGATTGCCATCGGTTCTACAAAAGGAGCTAGTACTAGGAAGGTGATTAGTCCTTTGGTTGCTCGGTGAAGAGGCCGTCCAGTTACCAAACGAAACGTTGCCGAAGTAGATCAAATAGTGAATCGGTTCAAGGCAACGACAAAAAAAAAAAAAAAAAGGAAAATTGTCTATTCAACTTTTTTTTTTTTTTTTGGCAAACACTATTCAACTACATTAAAGCAATTCATAAATTTCAATCATTGATCATTCTGGATTATTATAGGTTGCTAAGGTGTTTTGATTTGAAGCTTAAGCTTAAGTTAGTGCATATACACCGTATTATCCTTATATGATTGGCATGCAAAATAGTATGTATGTGTCGATACATGTTCATAAGATGACTTTACATCAATTGTCTGTTTTCATTTAGAAATATATTTTTTTTGACATGTACTTTTATTTGAATTATCACAGGTGGTAAATGATATTTGAGGCACATCCCTTACCCTTTCAGACTTTATAAGAGGCACACCGAGAAGTTTAATGAATGCTCCAACTCAGATTTTGGATCTGGATCTCTAACCCCATTGGGCTTTAATGCATGCACACCAGGAGTGGTGGACATTATGGACCTTATATCCTAGTTTATTGAACTTTTACAGTTTGTGTTTGACATTAGAACTTATTATGAAGAAACTTTTACATTGTGTCCTGAGATAAATATTTTGTTTGAACAGAAGTTACAATGTGTATGCAAATATTAAACAAATTTTACAAGTTTAAACAAGTCATGTTCTATTTCACTCACAACAAAACATTTACATTAATTGGGTTTTAATACACAACAAAACATAACTTGCTCTCAAACATCACAGTACCATACAAGAGTATTCAATCTACTTCTACTTCTAACTTGCATGTATAAATTATTACATCTTCATATGTGATAAGGCACCAATTACAAGCAACACAAACAACACATATTCCATTTTTTTGCTTCTTTGCGCTCTGAATTCGAAGTTGATCCCTCATAGATCTTTGTAGTTCGGTCATAGATTGAAGTTGTTTACTGACAATTGGCACTTCTCCTTCTACTTGTCTTGGAATTTCATCATCTCTACATTGTGAATTTGTAGGCAAGCACCATCCAATAAAACCACCACAATCATTACAAGAGTAGAATAACTTGTTTTTGTTTCGATCCGTCTCAAAAATCCGAATAGTGGCCTTTTTATTACATCTAGGACAATTTTTGTTGAAATATGTCAACCGATCTGAGCTACTACCATTCACACTTGAAGTTGACATCTGAAAAAAATATAAACCCAAAAAGTATAATGATTATATTTTCATAAAGTCCAATGTGAGTTTTTAGAATTATTATATAATACAATTCCTCATTAAACTGTGAATGCACCTATATTCAAGTTAAAACAATGGATGGTAATAGGGCTATCATGTTTTGGGCTCACGTGGCCTCTTGTTCATATAATTCGCACACAAAACATATTTATTAAGGCCAAGAATCAAAAGAATCTTAAATCCATCACACTAAATATACATGTGCATACAATACATAAGATATATATAAAATGTGTATGTACATAAATACTTGAAGAGAGAGCATAAAAACAGAGACAACCAAAGCAAGCAAAGCAGAGTTATATATGGTACAGAGGCAAATTTTGCTTGTTTATTTGTATGATACAGAACAAAAACAATATAATGAGAACCCATATGGATTCTTAATTCAATGTAAAAGTTCAAGAAGCTTATGATGCAATATTAAAAACCAAACTCGTAAAAGAATATTTTATGAAAAAATTCCAATTTTCTCAATTTTCTGTAGTCTTAGTAATTCACAACCAGCAGCATATCTCCTTGTACAATATAGGTCCAACACAAGGCAAAAAAAAAAAAAACCAACAACAACAACAACCGTAGGTTATAAAAAAATAATTCTAGCTGGAATCAATGGTCAAAATGTGGGAGAAAAAGAGGTTTGTAGAAACACTTGGGTTAGGACTAGAAGATTTGGTTGAGAAATTTCATCAAGCAGGTGGTAGGTAATATAAAGATTACTCAATTCCCAAATCAAAAGGCCAAAATCCAAACATTCAATCAAAGTGTTTATCCAAAACCCTAATATATATACAAGGTACATATATTCTCAATATATATACACAGACATATACATATATATATATATATATATACACGGATAGAGATATAAGTCGAAGTCGGAGTTACTTCTTAGTCATCCTTCATTGGGTTTTCGTTGGAGAGAGTCAAGAGTCGGGCGTCGGAGTTAAGGGAATGAGGGAGTCGGGTGTCAGAGTCAAGGGAAGGAGCATGTCAGGCTTTCTCTTGTTAAAGCCAAGGGAATGAGGGAGAGGGAGCCATAGAGATGAGAGATCTGTATTGCAAGGAGATTTTGATCAATAATGCAATAGGAGAATTTGAATTCTGAATAAAGAGAGAGAAAGAAAAGGTGCGTGAGTTGTGATACACATGAAAAATTACGTGCCTCGTCCACATCAATTGGGGGTCATGGGATTCAATATTTTTGATGGTTGGAACTATTTTTGTAAACTAAAAAACTAAAAAAAAAAAATAGTAATATAGGAACTATTTTTGTAAACTAAAAAACTAAAAAAAAAAAATAGTAATATAGACACGGGAGTATCACATAATTGCATTGGACAAACACGTTTTTTTTTTTTTTTTTGCGGGAATAATGCACGTGAATCACATGTGCACTCCTCCGTCTCTCATCTATCTTCCTGAGGATGAGATTGCCAAGTAATAATCCAACTCCACCTCCCCATAAATCTAATAAATAAATCCATTGTCGGGAATCAAATAATCCCATTATTGATTTCGTCAAAGTCAAAAACTCCCTGCTCTTTTAACGTGTGTCGGCGCTAGACTCTATAATAAAATGATATAACTTTCTTACGCGCCAAACATTCAACCTTACCATTAAGACCCCTTGAAATTTTCTCACAATTCAAACTTTGGAAGAGTAAAGAAAAAGCAAAACAAAGCAAGAAAAATGAGTTTCATTAACGAAGAAGATGATGAGTTTGATCGATTACCTGATGCGATTCTTCGTCTGATTTTCAACAAATTACACGAAGTTGATCCCGAATCTCTCAGCAGATGCAATTTGGTCTGCAAGCGATTTGCTTCTCTAATTCCTCAAGTCGACAATGTTTACCTCACAGTTCCTCGCAAAAGCCTCTGCGGATCCTACGATCAGATTTCGAAATCCAGCTGTATCGATTGCAGCCACAGATCTAAAAGCCTTTTCAAGTCTCTGATTCGTAAACTCATCACGACGCCATTTCGATGTCTTCGCCGTATCATCACTTTGAAATCTTCGTCGTCGTCTCGGTTTGATTGTTCTTACCATTCGCCAAATGAAATCCTGAAGAATTTCAAGGAAATTCAATCCCTGCAAATTGAGCTTCCAGGATATGGCGGCGAAATCGAATCAATCAACGACGGTGATTCGTTGTTGAGATGGAGAGCCGAGTTTGGGAGCCATCTCGAGAGCTGTGTGATACTCGGATCCAAATCTTTCGATACACCAAATCACAAACAACAACAAGAAGAAGAAGATGAAGAAGAAGAAGAAGCCGAGCTCACAGACGATGAGCTGAAATTGCGAGTAGTCTGGACGATCTCGTGCTTGATTGCTGCGTCGGCCAGGCATTACTTGATGCAGCAAGTTGTTTCAACGCATCAAATGCTTCAAAATGTGGTGGTTACGGATAGGAGTAAACAGGGGAGGCTGAATATGAAGAGAGAGCAGATTGAAGAATTGAGGAGTAAAGTGAATTCATCGGCTGAATTGGAGTTGTCGCCGATGTTGGAGAGGACACCGTTGCCGGCACTGAAGATGAAATTATGGTACGTGCCTGTGATTGAGTTGCCGGCGTCGGGGTGCGTGATGAGAGGGGCGACGCTGCTAGTGATTAGGCCTGTGGACGGGGAGAAGAAGGCGGAGGAGAGCGATGGTGATTTGGTGGAGAGGGTTTGGAATGGGGAAGGAGGAGGAGAAGAAGAGGGGTTTAGTGAAGCTGTGTGGGAGATGATGAAGAAGAAAAAGAGTTATACTCTGGAAATGAATTCATTTTGATTCCAAATTGTTGCATTTCTTGATCTCCTTCTTGTTGTAAATAAGTTTTGGCTTTACATATTTCATTTTGGATGAATTTCACTATTTTTTTTTTATCAGAAAATAAAAATAAACGAGGTTTAAAATATGATGAAAATTTCAATAGTTTGATGCATGATGATGGAAAATACACAAAATGAAGGCAAATGTTTTTGAGAACATTTCAAAATGATTTTTTAAATTAATTGTTTAGGTTTTGGGTGTTTTTAAAATATTCCTTGTTTTTCTATGAAAAGCTTGAAATAAGTTTGGAGACTTTGTCTCACATTGAAAAAAGAGGAAAATATGAAACACTTAATAAAATGTTATATGAAATATTTTTTAAATATGAAATTATAGAATGAATGCTACTGAAATACAGTCAACTCCGTGTGATAAATTGGTAATATACAGCAACACAATTTTTTTTTATCCTAACTAAATTTAGTACAATTGCTCACATGATATATAATCTCATCTAATATTGTAAGATCTATAGTTTCGTTTATGATCTTAGGTCACACACACACACATATATATATATATATATATATATTCACAAAATAAGAATTTCATTCAAAGATTATGAAAACATACCTGAAGAGTTTTCATATTCAAATCACATAGCTAGCCAGAATCCATAAAGCAAGGAAGTGAAATTACAACCAACTAAATGTTCAACGGAGAAATTTGGGTTCGAGGCTAAGTGGATTGAGTGGATTAGGGAGTGTATAACATCAGCCAAAGCATCAGTTCTTGTTAATGGGTCACCCACAAAAGATTTCAACTTGCAAAAAGGATTGAGACAAGGCGATCCCTTGTCACCATTCCTCTTCGTAATAACGGTGAGGTGTTAAATATGATGTTTAAAAGGGCAAAGCAAATGAGGTTAATAAGGGGAGCAAGGCTAGGAATTAATGAAGTAAATTTGACTCACCTCCAATTCGCGGATGATACCATTATCTTTTGTCAAGCGGATTGGTTGAGGTAGTAAACATAAGGAGTTTTCTCTCTCTCTCTCTCTCTCTCTCTCTCTCTCTCTCTCTCTCTGCGATGTTTTGAGCTAGTTTCTGGTTTAAAGATCAATTTTGGAGCTGAAGATAGTCTAGTAGAAGATTTTGCTTCAGCCCTAAACTGTAAGGCACAGAAGTTTCCAATGAAAAATCTACGACTTCTTTGGGAGCAAACTCGAGGCTGAAAAGAACTTGGGAACCAGTGATACAGAAATTCAGATCCAAGTTAGCAATGTGGAAGAGGAGACTCTTGTCCTTTGGGGGTAGATTAACTTGTCTTAAACTCCCTGCCAACAAACTATCATGTCGCTATTTAGAATACTAGTGGCGGTGGAGAGTGTGATTGATAAAATTTGAAGTGGTTTTCTGTGGGGGTGATAATGACCATGGAAAAAAGATTCAAATGATCAAATGGGAAAAGGTGACAAATGGAAAGGATTATGGAGGAGCAGGTATTCGCAAGTTAAAGAGTCTTCAATGATGCATTACTATTGAAGTGGTGATGGAGGTTCAGGGCTGAAAGGGAAAGCTTTTGGAGAAGAATGATCTACGAAATATATGGGATTGATAGTTGATGTTGGTTGCCTTGGCTGGATCAAAGGTCATCATACTCTTGAATTTGGAATGGTGTATTCATGGTCAAAGATAGAAACCCTACAATTTTTGGGCTGTTCATTGGAAATATTTGTTTCAACTTAGGAGACAGAAAGAGATTGTCATTTTGGAGGGATAGGTGGATTGATGGGGGGACAGACCTTAAAAAGTGTTTTTCCCAGGCTCTATCGATTATGTTTGAATAAAGAAGGGAGGGTAGCTAATTTTGTGATTAATCAGAACCTCAACTTGAGTTCTTGGATGGCCTTTAGGAGAGAACTGTTTGCTTAGGAAGTAGAGAAAGTGGAGAGAATGAAATTATTATTTATACTGATCCTGGTTTTTTCTTCGTTGATTGTTGTATACGGACTTAGGTTCCGTGGAATTGGTTATTGTATATGTCTTGTTGTCATTATTTAATTCCATATATTTGAGTTTTAGGATGTATTGGGCGTGTTTCGAACAGGTTAGTTGAGCTTTAGTCCCATTCCTTGTTGCCCAGATTTTTGGTGGTCCGCTCAAGCGGGTCCCTTCGTGCTCGAGCGGAGTTTACACACTTTCAGCATTTTGTGCTTCTGCAAAACTACTGCAGGTGCATTTTTCACGCTCGAGCGGATTTCCTTACGCTCGAGCGAGTGTTCAATGTCTGTAAAAATACTGGAAGAGGGTAATCTATACTCGAGCTGATTTCCCTTTGCGCTCGAGCGGGTGCTTTTTTAATTTTGTGTCTTGGCGCTCGAGCGGGTCTTTTTGTGCTCGAGCGGGTCCAGTTTTTGTGTTCTCCGCTCGAGCGTCCTATTCTCCGCTCGAGCGGGATAGTCGTATATCAGATGGCAGCTGGGTGATTTTGAATCACTTTTCACATTTCCTTTCTCTCTCTTACTTTTCTAAACCCTCTATTGAGAGCTCCTCTCTCTAGAATCTACCTTCTCTCTAGGGATTGATCTAGCTTGAGTGATCTACTCCCTTAGTGTCTTTGTAAAGAGTGCAGAGCTTGGCTTGAGCTTTCTATCAATCCGAAAATCTTGGGTTTCAGAGCATTTCGAGATTTCTTCATCATCTCCTTTAAGTTTTATCTTTTGAGGTAGGGATAACTACTCATTTTTATGAGCTTTAACCTAAATGTTGAGTTTTTGTATAAATGGTTTGATTTGGGAAGTTAGAGTTTGAGATGTGTTATATTGGAAAGAGGGGTTTTGTTATTTTGATTCAAACATATGTGTTTTGGGTCTAAAAAGGAGGTTATTGATGTTGTTGATAACATTTGGACTTTTGGGTTAATGTTGAGAAATTGGGAAAATGCCATGTTTGGGTATATTTGGGTCATTAGTGTAACTAATGACATTTATTATAGAGATATGAAATTGGCTCATTATGAGGTAGAATGGTGGAGTTGGATTTATTAATCGCTCACTTATGAAATTGTTGTCAAATTACCTGTTGATGCATTTATTATCTGTTTAGAAATAAATTGCTTTGGGCTATCGGTGGAGGATAGTCTTGATTGTTGTAGACAATGCATGATGATTAGGCGAATTAAAACTAATCAATGGAATATGTCATTAAATATGATGGTTGGGAAAATACATTAAATTTATGTATTGATTGATTATGTATATGATATGTGTTTATATACATTGTGTTGTGTGGAAGGAGATAGAGGATGTACTCCACGGTTTAGGAGGAGATAGGGGATGGACTCCTAAATCGGATATTATTTGGGAGGAGATAGGGGATGGACTCCGTTGATACAACAAATATGTGTATCTATTGAAGTATTGATACAGCAAATATGTGTGTCTATTGATGTGTTGATACAGTGAATATGTGTATCTATTGTGAAGTATAGAAGTGTTTAAATGTGTTATTGAGACAGCAAATATGTGTATTTATTGTGAAGTATGGAAGTATTGTTGATATGAGCTATAGTCTCATTAAATTATTGGCCAAGTTCTGAGCCTTATTCACAAATTGAGAACTGGATAAATAATGGGAAATGGAATGAAACATGGACATATATGTCATGTAATTGAAAGGAATTATGAATTGATTTATGTGAGTTAAACATTTATCAAATAGTCATGTTTTAGTTATTGCTCATATTATGTTTAGCATATCTCTACTGGGCGTTGGCTCACCCTATATGGGACATCATTTTCAAGTGCAGGTGCTATGCTACCTCCAAGGACGTAGCTTGGGAGGCTTGAGGCTGTTGGGCTCTTTTTGTTATTTTTGCTGTATTACTTGTATATCAAGCCAAGGGCTTATTTTGTGTGGAGCTAGTACTCTCTCTTTGTAACCAAGTGTTGACTTGGAAAGTTGTAAGCCCTCAGAGCATTTACTTTTGTTGTCAACATGTAATATCTTTTGTAATGAATACTCTGATGAATGAAATTATGCTTTATTCTCTTATGTCTAAGCATGTCAAGATTGTATGGTTTATGGGTTTATTTACAGGGCGTTACAACTTGGTATCAGAGCGTACCGGGTTCGAATACTTGGGTACGTGGGAAGTGGTTAGTACCACAATGGGTTCGTATTGCTTGATAGAGACTTAGATGTAGTGTTATGTGCTTATGTGATAACATGTTTATATGACTATTTGGGTATGAGATTTAGTTTCTAGGATGTTGATTGGATCCTTGGGTTTCTGTGAGTCTTGTTGGAAAAGCACTCGATCAATGCTGTTTCTAATCGAAACTCTAGTAACGCCTCGGGACTATCATTATCCAGAAATGAAATTCGTAGGCGCTTATGTGATTATGTGCTTACGTGGAATGAATTACAGTTGTCCAATGTTTTAGGACGCGAGTGTTATAGCTTCGGTACATTTGTGAATGTGCTAATGTCTTCGTTACCTTTATTAGGATGTCAGGACGAGGACGAGGTGGTAGACGTGGTAGGCAGGAGATGCTTATATCGGATGAGGTTCCGGCGTAGCAGGAGGGTGTTGGTCAGGCCAATGTAGTCGAGCCAGTGGGTCAGCAGGCCATGGGTGCCTTAGCCCGCGAGATAGCTGGAGCTATGAGGGAATCCATAGGCATTCTCAGAGCTGAGAATCGAGTTCAGGCCCAGGTTGTTGATGCAGGGCCTTCCTTTCTGAAGAGGGAGTTCTTCCGGTCTGATCCGGATGAGTTTGTTGGGGATCCTAAGGAGCCACTTAAGACTGATGAGTGGTTGAAGTAGATGACTAAGATGTTTGAGATGATTGGCATCAAAGACGGGGCATTGAAGGTGACCTTGGCATCTTTCCAGCTTAAGAGGGATGCGGGTCAGTGGTGAAAGTTCATGAGAGGTCGTGTTGGAGGGACTTGGGAGGCCTTTGTAGATGCTTTCCGGGAGAAGTTCCTGTCTCCAGCTGTCAGGGAGAAGTTG